TGGTGAGTATGCACTGCTTACCAGAAACCAGTGCCAGCTGAGCTCCTTGTGTTCTGCAGAGAAAGCCTACACCAAACCTTTTAGGACAACTGGTCTTTCCTTAAGTACTAAACCTTGTCCCTGTTCTCTTGTGATAGGGAAATGTGATGAATATACCTTTTCTTACATTTGCAAGTCACCTCTAGGTGTGTGTGGATAGAAATGCAGAGGTGTACCTTTAGCAAGGTGAGTTGGTGTTCATGGTTCTATCTCCTGAGAAATGCTGCTTGTTGTCTAGTCCACTGCTTTGAAGACTGCATGGAAGTTGGCAGAATCCTGCCATCTCCTCCTGAACGGCAGCTCCTGGAAGAATGGTGAGAAGACCAAATGGGAGTAGAAGTTTATTTACCCACATTTATCACTCACCCAGAAAATGAGTAATCTCTAATGCTCATACCACATTGTCTTAAGTGTAGTCCCTCCTGTGTCTGTGGTTTGATGGTTGGTTCACTCTGCCAAGCAGGGTAAGCTCACAGTTGACCAGCTTGCTTGTCCAGCAACACTCATGGATGAAACCTGCTCGTGTGGACCTGGGTGAGGGTCAGCTTGAGGTAATTGAGTCTTAGTGTGTGAGCCTCTTTCTGTTTGTTTTAAACAGTCTGCAAACATCAACACAAATAGGAGCCCCTTACACTCTCACAGTTCAAAGCATTTTCAGAGAGTTTATAACTGCTAATGAACAGTTTTAGAGAAAGCAGATCCCAGGCTTCCAAGATTTGCACATTTTGCAATATGAGGTGCTTGAGCTTGTGTATTGTAAACAAAGTTTAGAAACTCCTCTATGTAGTGGTGCTTTGGACCTCACCAAGCTTTAGAAGAAAATGTCTAACTGTGCCTGGATTTATTTTATAAACCGGGACGGCTTCAGCAGTCTGTGTGGCCTTCCATTCAGCTGTTTGCTTAAGTCAAGCCAAAAGCCACTTATCTAAAGATGATTTATTCTCACTCTTGAGTTGAGAGAACTAGGGTGGAAAGGGTGAAAGCTGAATCATAGGGTTTAGTCTGAGCCTCTGTCTTAAGTCAAATCATAAGGGGAGCATGAAGGACTGACCATGACATTGTTCTGGAAGGTACTTGTACTTGTGGTTCTCTTGTACATTGCTTGTCGGACACCTTTTCAAAATAAACAGCCATGGTATGTGATTGACTTAGATTTGAACTTTGCAGCTGTTCCTTCCTATCTGCCTGGTATGCCAAAGCAAAGTCCTGCAGCTCAACATCTCTAAAATCAAAACCTTAATTCAAATATTGTAATTTGGATCAGCTTTCTGGTTTTGGCAGTGTAAACAAAATGGAGACAAGTGTGTTTTTTTATCTAGTTCAGAAAAATAGATGTTGTTTATATACTTTGTATGTAGGAACATTGTGTAGTAAAAGGCAACAGCTGAGCAGTCCTCACTAGAGATGTGAAAGTACTAGAGGCAGTGTACCGGCTGTCAAAATTGCATCTGAAGAGAAAGTAAGTTTTAAAGATGTTTTAAGATGCTTGGTTTTTGTTAGATTAAAACAACCAAAAGATTTTTGCATTTGAGAACTTCAGTTGTATTCTCTCTGGATGCTGTGAGGATCTGATGTTCTCGCTAACATCTTTTCACTGTGTTAGACTTCACCTCATGCAGAGCCTTACCATGGGCATGGGTCCAGTAGCCAAGTAAATGAGGCTGAAGGTTATAGGTTTGACCCATCCAAGAGCTGTGCTGTCCAGGCAAGGAATGGTGGGTTATATGGTGGGGCAGGATGGCTCTGCCAAGACCCTTGTGCTGCCATGGTGTGCAGCTCATGTGGGCATTTGCTGTGCAGGGCTGTTTCTCTCCTGGGACCCTTGCTTCCTAGCATGGATGGCCTCCTTTCTCTCCTGTGCAATTGAATGCAACAGTAAAAATAAGGGGGGGGGCAAATGGCTAAGAGGTGGGGCTACTTTTTGTAGTCCACTTCTTCAGCAAGAGTTAATACCAAAAGGGTTAAAGAACCATTGTATATATCAAATTTGGGTTGTCAAAGCAAATATTTTGACAGTCGGTCAGAAATGGATATTGAGGGGCCTGCTGTGAAGAACATACAGTTCTGTTATGGAAAAAACTTGTTAAGGGATGGGAAACTGAGTAGAAGAATAAACAGCCAGTTTTCAGCCTTGCAAGGGCCTAGCTTGAGTTTCTGTTGAGCAAAAATGAAAAAAAAAAGGGGATGAGCAGAGTGCTGGAGTGAGGTTTCATGAAGCACAGATGTTTAGCACAGCCTGTTGCTGGAAAGGCTTCCAGGAATGACACAAACATGTTGTTGGAGTCATGGGATGTTTGGTTAGGTTCATTGGGAAAGCCAAGGTGGGGGGAGGAGGTTGTTGGAAGGAAAAGGTTAACTGCATAAATGTGACTGAACTGTAACTTTTCTCCAGTACTCTATCTGCAATCTTTCCTTACTAGATCTCAGAAAGAAGTGCCTCTGCCCATCCTCTGGGTTCCCCATCCTGCTTTATAAGTTTTTGTGTGTCTGCTAACAAAAAGGAGTTATAGGTGAATGGTTATCTCATTTCAGGGCATCACTAGTGAAAGAATAAACTTATGCAGCAGTTCTCACATGAGTAAGAGTACATTGCTCTGCATATGTTTGCACCAGAATAAAATACTCATTGCTTGGGAAAAGCCCAATTGTGAAGGTTTTAATGAAAACCAAAATATATTCAGTTCTGTACTGAACTATAGTTCTCAATGACATCTACTAACTAACTTTTAGGTGCTGCAAAGTTTCCCTGTGTTGCACAACAGGGAAGTATATGCTCCAGTGAATTCCTAAGATTTAATATGACCTCTGTATCACCTTTAGACAGGCTGTTTTGCTTATGCAGTGACTTTTCTGGAGATACTGTGTTTTAAATTGTTGATGCAACTTATTCCTGCACTTATGTTTCAATTGGAAAAGAACCCTATGGTTTGGTCTTTTCTTTTAGTATAAGATCTCATGAGTGACATGCTTTTATGACTGCCAGTGTTCATTTGGAATTTCCACCTACCTATGTAAATATGAACTTTGTTCTCATCTGTGTTCAATAAACAGTATTTATCATTCAGCAGGTACAGAGTAGGCAGTAACAGCTATGACGGATGTTGAGCTCTCATATCCCTTGCACCTCAGTTAAAATCCTGGAATTACAAAGATGAGGAATGGATGTAGTTCTTGCAGAGAAAACCAGATTTTAGAGCTTTTTGGAGCATCTCTTAAAAAAATAAAGACATTTTCAATTAAATTCTCTTTAATCATGCAGATGATATCAGAAGTATGTAGATTTGTAGTGGACATTTCGTACATTCCAGTCATTTTTAAAGTGGAAATACTGAGCAAATTAACTTTTTTTTTGGCACTTTCCCTCCAAAAACCAGAAAATTAGCTGAACCGTTATCTCAGTATGTCTAAAAGCACAATTAAATATGTTTTGCCTTTTTTGAGGCAATGCCATAAAATTGAACTAAGGAAGACAAATTCCCCTTTACAGCCCTTTATAGCAAGGGAATCTGCAGATCTAGATGATTCATTACTACTAGTACAGGAGGGAGTAGAAATTGCTGGATGAAATTCTGAATGTGTGAAGTTGTGGGTGTGTGTTTCATTTTGCATTCAGTGGGACTAGTATTCAGCCACTGGACTCAAAACTCCTAAGAAATTAAATACCAACCCCATGACAAAGCTAAAAAAATATTGGGGATGTCTGTTTTCCTGGCATCTGCTGACCACTTAGCGTTTGGCAGCAGGGCAGCAGTGAGGTCCAGATCTGCTTCTTGACTGTCTTGCCTCCAGTTCAATGTTGGTATTTTGGGTTTTATGAGGAAAACTTGGAAGCCTTATGTTCTCACCATGGAAGGGGTAACATGAGGGCATTTCCTGCTCCCACCCTTGCTTTCAGGCGACTCTGTTTCAATTCAAGCACAGAGGCATGTGCGATGACCTGTTTGTTATTTTGAGGCTGATATTTGGAGAGGATTTGGAAGTATAATGGTCTCTGCCTCTTATACTGAGATGAGTGTAACTCTGGGAATGTCATCAGCTACTGTTGAAAGGCAGCAGTAAGGCTTGGGGAAAGCCCTGGGGAACATTTTGCTGCAGTCACAGCATACAGAGAACTGTGGAAGAGGGGAATTGAGAAGAGTTAGGAAGCCCAAGGCTCACTGGCAACCCCTCTCTGTGGGGCTCTTGGACACTTGGCAGTGACTGGGGCACTTTTCCACAGATTCTTGTTTACAATGGTGTAAACCACTCACCAGAGGCTGCCTGCATTGGTATCAGTTCAAGATGAGGTGTGTGAGAAACCTGGATACAGAACCCAAGAAGCACTGCTCCTGCAAAATCTAGGCTTCAAAGGGGTCACCACATCACAGGGTGGACTGTCCTCAGCTGCAATCCTGTTCACCTGCTCTTGAGGCGGGGCTGGCTCAGCTGTCGTCAGCAGAAACCCAGAAGGTTGGAACAAGGTTCCTTTATTGCCCTTTGCACCCAGGTGCTAATGGCATATGGAGCTGTGTCCAGCTTCCGTCCCGGAGGCATGCCATGCCACCTCCCCAAACTGAAGGCAGGAGCTGCACATCTGGGAAACTGCTTAAACGTGTCCTAACATTTTGCTGGATGACTGCCAGCACCCTTGGTAATTTTGAGGAGAAGATGATGATGGGGGTGTGGTGGTAGGAATGGGTGGGACCGCTGAGTGTTACTGAGACCTTTGCTTGCAAAGTGCTTGACAAACACCCGCAGTGGGATAGGGCACAGCAGATACTGTAAGTATAAGTATTGGCAGTGGTGGGGGGGAGATTAATTACTCCCCCGGGAGAAACCAGGGAGGTTTCCAGCAAGCTGTTTGATGTGCCCTTGTTAGAGCTTTCATATGTTGATGTGGATTTGTGCCGGATCTTGGCTCTTTGTGGAGGTGGAAATGACTTTTCTCTCACTGCAGATGTGTTTTCTCTTTTTTCTTGTAGGTGTGTGATGTCGAACAGTGCGCAGTCCTTGCAGCCTCTCCCACCAGCCTGCAGTGTCATATGCCAGTATGAATATTAAGAAAGAAAACTGTATTTCAGAGCTCAGCATCCCGGAAGGAAAAAAGGAGGAATTAAACAGAAAGAACAAATGACTGCACTGCTTGCAAAACTTGAGGCTGTTCATTTTTTCTTCTGAGAAGCTTCGTCTTGGCCTTTGTGAGAGAGTTGAAAGAGTAGCCAGAGCAGACATAGTAGTTTTCCTAGGGTCCTTTTTTCCTTTTTTAATTTAATTTTTCCCCCCAGTGCCTGGATTTTAAGACTGTCTGCTGCACTGATCACAAGCACTGGACATCAATATGTGTCATGTCATTGTAACGTGTCGGTCAATGCTATGGACTCTCCTGAGTATCGTGGTGGCTTTTGCAGAGCTCATTGCCTTCATGAGCGCAGACTGGCTGATTGGGAAAGCAAAGCCTTCAAGCTCCGAGGATGTGGACAACAGAACAGGGGGATCGCAGGAGCCTTACCATCCAACTCTGGGCATCTACGGGCGCTGCACCAGAATCTCCCACATGCAGTTTTCTAGACGAGACACGCTTTGTGGTCCTTACGCTGAAAACTTCAGTGAGATTGCCAGTGGGTTCTGGCAGGCGACCGCTATTTTCCTGGCCATGGGAATCATGATTCTCTGTACCGTGGCATTTGTGTCTGTCTTTACTATGTGTGTGCAGAGTATTATGAAGAAAAGCATTTTTAATGTCTGTGGGCTGCTACAAGGGATTGCAGGTATGTGCACTTTGAGAACAACTAACATTTTTAATTTTGGGGCTATTCAGACGAAGAAATGCTGTTCATTTTTTCCCCCTCTGATTTCTTTCAGTTACAAAAACTTCTCTCTTTTGTTACCAGCAGAGAACAAAGTTAATACTCACGTTAAGGCAGTCTGTCTCCCTCTCTCTACTTTAGTAATTTTTCCATGGACAGAAGGCAGTTCCCTCAGTGTCTCAGAGGCTTCATGGCTGTGGTGAGAGTAAATACTACCCTAGGACTAAGAACTGCCAGTAGTTGCACACCCAGTTCCTGCAGCATTTCATGCTGAGCAGCCTCCTTCAAAGCTGACAAGTGATAACCTTGTGATAAACCCTCCTTTAGCCAGCTTATTGTTCAGTTGTAGTTACACAGTCCACTAAGCTTATCTTTTCACTGTCAGAGGATCAGCTGTGCTTTGCCTGAAAAGATGAATTTGTTCTAGAGATTTGGTGTTTCTGCTTAAACCCCTAGATTTTACAAAGATTAAATGACTGTTAGCAAACCAACCCTGGACAGCGCTAGTTAGAGAAGTATTCAGCTTTCTGTAGTTGCCAGCAAGCATGGGGAGAACCTGTCTCATACACAGGGTTTTATCGTTTGTGCTCTGTGTGTGTGGTCATCTTCCCTATCTCAGGGAGCCCTCAGAGACTGTAAAGAAGGAGGGAATGAGCAGGGACACTTCCTCTTTCTCTTTTGGTGGTGCTCTCAAGCAGATGCTTTCAACTCACAAAATTATTTCATTACAACAAAAATTAGGAGTTTTAACTTGGTTGCTTTAAATATGAATCCAGCTTTCCCTCTTCTCACCTCCACTGAGGTGGCCAAATATGTCTGTGATGACTGTACCTAGACAGGAGGTGTAATGATAGGTATTCAGAGCTTTATGAAGCTGGTTGGCTTCATTTCTTGGTTGAGACCTAAATTAATCTTACTCTAAACACACATGGAGAAGTAGGTGAAAACTGAATTTACTGACTGCTGCAACCCTCCAGAGCCAGTGTTACAGGCCACAAACTGGCTGATGCTGGCATCTGAAGCACTAGCATGGCAGCTCTTACCATTGTCTGCTTCATGTGAATTCAGTATAAAAGTGTAACACTTACTTCATGTCACCCACAGTGTGAGGTTTGTGCTTCAGAGCAGGATTAGGTCCCTAAATTGGCTAAAGATTCTTCTGTTCACATGATGGCATACAAGTAGCATATTGTTTGTCCTTTAGATAAACATGACGAGTTTTCTGTAATCACTCCTGGTTTACAGAATTTACCAGAACCAGTATGACAAGGAAACAGCTTGGCAGTGCAGATTAAGCCAGAGGAAGTTGTTAGCTCCTTGCTTTCCTACACTATACTTCAGAAATAATCCATGAAACCATTTTTTCAGGATATACAATTATTGGTTCTTTTCTGCTGGAGGGGTATTTGTATGGAAGAGATTGCTTAGCAGCATAAGTAGATCTTTGGCATGTCTGACTTGGCTCTGTTGAAAAGATAGCTTTACTTGCAACTCTGATACCATCTCAAAACACCTAGTCTATCGTATCGGACGAGCAGGAAGTAGATTCTTGTATCTTGGTGTTCTGTAGACCATGTATTTGTGAGAAAATACATGCAAAGAGTTTTATGTTTTATTATCTATCCAGCTGCACCTGTAATGGGACTTGAGGCCGAAAGGATTGAACAATACAGTTGACAAAGCATTTCTTACGTGTTAAGGGATAGATCAGTCCTTCTTGAGCTGTACTGATAGAAGCACTTCTTATAATTCGGATAAATGACACAGCATGAAACTGGGTAATAGAAAGGTCACATTACTGAAACCGTTGCTATGAGAAGTACGCCTGCCAACATTTGCAGCCAGGCGTCTTGTGGCTCACAACTCATTTTGTAACGATTAGTTTTCTTGGGTCCACTGCTAATTTTGTGCCAGTAGCATTACAGCATCTGCTTACTTAGTTGCAATTATTTTCGTTATGACTTATAATGGTTGTTAATTTCAGGTTTCTCAGTTCTGAGTTTTGAAAAATGTTTAAGCAAGTTGATCAAGAGGGACAGTTGTCAGCATGTTTAAACCATACAGGGATTATGATAGCTAAACTAATGCCCTGACCAGAAAACAAGATACAACCCTGCCTTAATCATTTTAAGCATAACATCATTCTTTCAAATGTGAACAATGATGTTTTTAATAAGCATAGGAGAAGAATTCACAAAAGAATTTTGTTAATCAGTTCATGTCAGTCCAATATTTGCAAGTATGTCAAACATCTCCTTTTCAAAGATGAGATGCACTCATCTACAGAGTCTGTAGACTCTGCATCTGTAGAGTCATCTACAGGAACTCAGGATCTTGCAGATTTAATCTCATTTAAAATCTCTGTATCTTTGCAGTGGAGTTTTAATATAATTAGAAACATACAACAAGTTAATTTATTCCTGAAATTCATCATGAAAAAACAATAACAGACACCGGATGTATCTTTCCAGTGTGGCAAGATTGGTTGTGACCTGGATGATGCCTACGGTGAAATTACAGAACAGAAAGCAACATCTCTTCTGTTATGGCCCTTGGACAAACATGCAAACCCTTATTTAGACCAACTGGAAGAAGCCATGCACATATCTGGTCCATTAGGACTTTTTTTTTGTGGCAGAAAATGAGAAATACAAAGCTATAAAGGAAGAAAATATGGCTCTTGTTTAAACTCCTGTAATTCCTTTGTTGTAGAGCAAGATTTTCTACCACTTACTTTCAGATTGCAGTACCTTTCATTCTGCAGCTGGAGAAACAGTAATCAGTAGCTCTGGTTTTGGAGACATTTGAGGATTGTTTCATCTGGAAAAGCATCTTTTTTCTGTATTAAAGAGTGCAGAGAATGGAGCCATGTAATTGAATAGATAATTACTACTCAGCAGCAAGAAGTCCACCCAGACTTTCATTTGTATGTCTTTTTGGGGACAGTATTCTATTTTTACAGTCCATGAATCACTTGAAATGTAGAGGCTAGAAGAGGCAGGATGTTATTACCTGACAAGAATCAATCCAAAGTAAATTTTCACAGTAATCATGTAGTTATAGGAAATAAATAATTAATTATCTCCTATTGACATACCTTGGTATGCATATAGTGTAGTTGCATATGTGTTTAGAAGTCTTATTTGGGCTGGTGTACTTTAGTACTAAGTAATATAATCTAAACATAACCTAGCCTCAGAGGAGGGCGGGGTGAGCTTAGGACAGAGCCTAAACAAGGTTCAGCTTCCATCTTGGATAGTTTATGAAGTTCATAATCAACAATTTTCTTGGCTTCTTTTTTTAACCTGTGTTGTGGCCGGGTGGGCAGGACCCTCCCCACAGCCAGCAGCTGCCGGACTTGCAGGTGAGCCCAACCTGCCAGCAGCACCCTGACTACATGCCTGGGTGGAAGCTAAATTAGCTGCACAAATATTGTGTCAGCCACAGAACTTGAGCAGGCCCCTGTGTTTGATTGTGGGAAGCTCGACACCATGTGCCTAAAAAGGCCTTGGGGAGAGTGGTGGGGAAAGGTTGCTGACATGTCAGGAAGGTGAATGGGTTTGGGAGTTCAGCTTCTTTTACTCCTGCTTTGCCATGCTGGAGCACATTTACCAAAAGGCAATAAAATAGCTCCTCTTTAAAGTCTTTCCGGGGTGCTGAGGGCTTCATCTGGGAGGCCTCTCACAGGTCAGCCCCTTCTCGTCTCTTCCTCTGCTCACCGTCGACTGTCTCCTAGCTCAAACTTGACTAAACTGGTTTCGGGGGAAATAAAAGCCTGTAAAAATTGGATTGCATCAGTCAGAAAACCAGCTGTTTCCCAGCTGCACACTGAGAGGTGTCTCTGGTTTACTCAGGTGAATGCATGGATGCATTTTGCTGTCTTGTGGCTTAGGTGGCTGTGCCACTGCCAGTTACGTCTTTACCAGGTAGACATCCAGTCAGCCAAAGCTGTTTTCCAAGGCTGCTGCAGGCAGACTGGGAGAAGTCTGTCTGCTTGGGCCTAGATGCTGCAGCTTTGTGCCTCCCTCTGTCACCTCAGCAATTTCTCTTCCAGCATTGCTGGGGGATGACTCAGCTTTTTTCTTTCCAGGATCTGAGAGGCTTGCTTTTTCCCCTTACACATGTCCTGCTCCAAGCAATGAAGTCTCTTCCACAGTACTTTCTCTTCTCAGGTGTCTCCCAAGCTTTCATCCCAAGGTTCATTCTTCTGACCTTTCCATTATTTCCCTGTTTACTGTTCATGTCTTCTCCTGTTCCCTTCTGTGGCATCTTGGGGGGTTCCTCCATCAGAATCTGCAGCAGTACCTTGGCAATAATTCAGTGCCAGGAGTGCAGCTTTACCGTCAAATGCAAGGAAACTTCTCCACAATTTTCTAAAATGAAGAGGTGAAATTCAGTTCAAAGCCAGCTGTGTGTAACAATCTATCTTTCCTGCTGAAATAGTTTGTTTCACATCTCTTGCACTGAGAAATAGTTCAGCCTGTTATACTTACAGGGTATCATTTTCATTTTGGGAGGCTGGATTATTAGGAAGATGACCTGAGCAGAGTGGGATGGGAAACATCTGAAGGGAATGAGGATGTAGAGCTGCTTCTGAAGGTGGATGAAGTAGGATCCAGCTGCACAGGGTGGGCTCAAGGTGTGTGCAGCCATGGAACTGCACAATCCTGGCTGCTGGAACATAATGAGGCCATTGGGAATTGCAGAGCAGGAAGCAGGAGGTCAGCCAGACCTTTCATCAGAGAGAGTAGAAAAAGCAGAAGACACAAGCTGTGGCGGAAGCGACATGAGGCTGCTATAACTCTTTGAGGATCAGATCATAACATGAAAGGTTGTGATAGTTGCAGCATAGTTTAGGATATTTGGTTGTAGGTTGCATCATGCTGTAAAAAGGCATTATTTTGTCTGAGAAAGGGGCAAATTGGCGAGCAAGGAAAAAAACACGTTTTGAGCTCATGTTG